AACTGCTCGGTTACCGTACATCCCGTCCGTTCGGGCCGTACAGCAGTAGTTTGCGCAGCGTGGGGACAATAGTTAACAACTAGATAACAAAAAGAACCCAAAAACCCAGCTGCCGCTTCTGGGGTGCCGGGAGCAAAAGCAGAGGACTGCGCATGACCCCTGCACACAGCACCACCAAAGGGGTGGGCAGACGACCTAAGCCACGCCCCCAGCCTGACCGCTGGACTCGCGCTACCCTCACCCCATTTAAGGAACCAGTTCCCCTCCCCCCACTGCCTCAGGGATTGGGCAAGAGAAACTATCACTTGTTTTCGCTCCCTCCTGCTGCGGCACAAGTCCCAGTAAAGCCTTGCCTGACTCTCATCTGGCCCCTTTTCAATGTCTACTGATTAAAGAGACTAAGAACCCTGGTTGTAACACTTGGATCTGCAAGCCCTAGCTTCTACCCAAGCAAACCCCCATCTCTGTGGCTTCCTGGAGAGCCACTTTCTAGATGAGGAGGTGAAATCATCGAGAAGATGGGCGACCACCTCACTGTAATAGGGAAGAACAAACCTGACTTCATATTGGATCTGTTTCTTTTACTTTAACCTTTGTATTCTATTGCTTTTGCTTTAACTTAAGAATGTTGCCTATAGCCTGAAAGATACAGGATAGCCCATTCTCAAGGATCTGACCTTAAAAGGTGTAAATTTTTCTATTCATATAGAGATAATAAGTTGCAGAACAGAGAGCAGCATTTGTCTTGCAGGTTTACAAGAACATTGTGACCTGACCTATGTGGACAGTTGCTAGAAAAAGGATTCCGACAATTAATCACACCCCCTCCTCTTTTAGTATAACCTCCCCAAGCTGGCTGGTCTCCAGGTTGGGTGAGTATCTTTTCAAAAGGCTCACCCTCAAGCATGACTAGGAGCCCAGGGCCTTTGAGGAGCCTCACTGGCATTGCCCTGATGTCAGCACTTCTGCCTGAAGCCTCTCTCTGCAGCCACTAAGCAGCTTTTTAACCACTCTGGAGCCCTCTCCCAAGCTGTGGACCAAAGGAAACAATAAAGCTTTTTGCAGTAGCCAAAAAAAAAGTTACGTTTTACACTATGCTGTACTCTATTAAGTATGCAAAACCATTATGCCTAAAAAAATGTACATACCTTAATTTTAAAACACTTTATTGCTAAAAAATGCCAACCACCATCTCAGCCTTCAGTGAGTCCTAACCCTTTGTAATAGTAACATCAAAGATCACTGATCACAGATCACCGTAGCAAATATAATAATAATGAAAAAGTTAGAAATATTGCAAGAATTACCAAAATGTAACACAGAGACATGAAGTGAGCAGATGCTGTTGGAAAAATGGTGCCAACACATTTGCTTGACGCAAGGTTGCCACAAACCTATTTGTAAAAAAATAGTGTCTGTGAAGCACAATTGAGTTAAGCGCAATAAAATAAAGTCTGCCTGTATTTACCCAAGAGAAGTGAACATGTGCACAGTAAGATTTGAACAAGAATATCCATATCAGCTTTATTCATAATAGTCAAAAACTAGAAATGACCCAAATGTACTTCAACAAGTGAATGGATAGGCAATGGAGTTATAATCAGACAACAGAAGTTACTCAGCAATAAAGAAGAATGAATTACAGGTACAAGCAAAACACAAATGAGCCTCAAAGACGTGATGCTGAAATAAAAACAGATACAAAAGAATACATCCTGCACAATTTGATTTATATAGAGTTCTAGAACAGGCAAAATTAGTCTCCATTGAAAGAAATCAGAGCAATGTTTTCCTGAGGGCGAAGGGGAAGTGGGGGAAAGGGTGGACTGGAAGGAGCAGGTAGAATGTTTTTGGAGTGATGGAAATGTTCTGTGTCTTGACAAAGATGTGGGTTACGTGGCCACATGCATTTGCAAAAATTCATTAAACTGTACTCTTAAGATATGTGCATTTCACTGTATATTAATTATATGTCAAACAAAAAAGGAGTGATAACTTTTTAAAGAAGAAATGGGAAAAGGCATACACAAGAGCCTGAGAAAATATCAGGGTACAGTTAAGCAGTAATTAATAACAGGTGGACATCAATGAAAGCTACCAAATCATGGTGAAATATTTGTTTTCTGTAATATTGCGGGGTTTGCTAATGATTCATTTTCCAATGTTATCTAGGATTGCTTTAAGAAATTCCTCCTCCTTTTCTTTTTCAGGCATGCTTAGTTGGAGAAATATGCTAATTTTCTACTAAGTTTGCAACACTTTTCTGAAGTATGTACAGTTGTTTAAACCGTAAGGTGGTCATCTGTATTTACCACCTACCAAGTAGGCAGTCACCTGTGCCTGAGGCCCAGGTAGCCAAGAGTAGTCAGGAGAACCCCTGAACGCTGAGCTGGCAGCTGTAACAGGAAGCAAAAAACACGACCACAGCATAGATCAGATCGTTCTCTGACCCACCCTGCGCCATTACATTCTCTATCTCAACAAAGCAGGCTTTTTTTGTATGCTTTGAGCTCTAGTTTTCCTGGAGCCATTTTCAGATGCTTAAAATATTTGTAATGTATCAAGAGGCAATTAAAGAAACATCTCAACATACTTAGTGGATGGCACATTTAAGCTAACAGTAGGACATGCATTCAAAGAAACAAATAAGCAGAATGTTAGTTTGATTGTAGGGAGTGAACCATTTTTCTCCGTGGTGAGAGGGGTGATCTCATCTTTCCCCCATCCCCCTTCCCTGGGCCTGGAAATTGGCAAGGCAGGATCACAAAGAGAGTCTTTGAAGAGGTGGTTCAAGTCAGAGATGAGAAAAAACATTTTTTGCACACTAACCCCCCAAGAAATGTACTGTGGAGAGACTCCTACTTGCAAGGGGAGACACTGACTAGTATCTAAAATGCTCCGTTAATGGGATCTGACTCTCCACCCCTTACTGCTCTGTCATTCAGAGTGAAGCCCGTTGGTTGAATGCCCCTGGTAATTAGAAGCAGTTGGGTACTGGAGAAATGAGTAGCAGTGTTAAAGGGCCTAAGGAGAGACTTTCTCATAGCAACTCCAAGCATTTGTTTTCAAGAGTTTACTTTCAACCACTGACAGCTGTTGGGGATCTGAGGCAAGGTAAATAGATTGGATGGGTCACACCTGAGTCCTTCCTGCCCACAAGCAGAAGCTTGTAGATCCCTCACTACCCAGAGAGTGGCCATGAGTCAGCAGCAGTAGCAGGACCTGGGAGCTTGTGAGAAATACAGGATCTTGAGCCACACCCCAGCCCTGATGAAACAGTTTGCGTTTCTCCAGAATCCCCATGTGATTCCTATGCACACGGAAATGTAAGAGATGCTGGTGGGAGTTCATCTGTTTTTATTTAACAAATACATATGTAACATTTATTAAGTGGCAGGCACTGTTCTGTGTGTTTTATAAATATTAACAGATTTAATCCTCATAGCAACTTTCTGATTGTAGTATTATTGTCATCTCCATTTCAAGGAAGAGGAATATGGAGCACAGAGAAGTTAAGTAACTTGCCCAAGGTCACACAGGTAGTAAATGGCAAAGCTTGGATTTAAACCCTAGAAGCCTAGCTTCTGGGTCCATGCCCTTAATCACTCCATTACATAGTTGAAATGTTTCCAAGGAGAAAGGAAGGATTTTTTTTTTACATTTTTAGGGGATCCATTTACATGTCTACTATTGTTTTTCTATGTCTATAGTTAATCATACTATGATTTGAAGGTGGACTTTAACAGGTCCACCTAAAAGGTGCAAGATTGGGGTCCACTTATTTTAGGAGCTTCTTCACAAAAGTATCTAAATCTATTTCTCCTGTATTCTGTAAAATGGCACTACTTGCATAGTTTTCCCATCAAGGGTTAGAGAACTTGGACACAGATTCAGCTCTGCTTACTATTCTTAAATACTCATCTTTACAAACATGGAGGGATTCCTTTACTCATAACATAATGACAGGAAATGACGGAGTCCACAGTATGAGAAGCATTAATAAAATAGCTCAGTATATAATGTATGTAAACATACATGCAACAAGCAAACTACAACTAATAGCCAACAACACTGTTGTACATTTCTGGTACTAGCTCGATTCCTCTGCCAAGAATTAGTGGAACCCCCAGTCATGTGTAGTTTAGGGAAATGATTCTGAAACAATAAAGATTTTCTTTATCTCATACGAGTACACAGTAGACCAATTATTTCCTGTAAGCTCTGTCTGTTAATCTCAATAAAAGGAAATGTTAAACTTTTTAGTGTGGGATCTGCAAAATGTACACCCTATCTTCCTGGATTGAATTTTCTGTCTGTGATCCTTTGCAGTGGTGGGTCTTAAGTGCAGACCTTAAGATTTTGGCACCATGAACACAAGTCTTTGGATGTGTGCTACATGCAAACTCTTCCTTGTTATATGAGAAAGCTGTTCATGCTAGACTTCCTTCCTGTGTTACTCTGTGAAATGTCCCCCGGGTATTACCCCTGTTCGCACTTCAGGTTCCCTTCTGTGTGGGCAAAAGGTTCAAAGAGTATTTTTGATTGACTCGATTAGTCCCTAGGGAACCTATTTGTTCTTGCCTGAGAACACAACCAATGGCCTCACTCCAAGTACCCTTTCATCCTCAAATTGGTATTTATACTGATAGCTCCTAAAATTCTCTGAAACAGACTTTCTGAAGGGCAGCCTGGTGTAAAGCAGTAAAACACCAGTGTCTAGACCCTACCCCTGAGATTCTGATTTAATTGGTCTGAATTTCTATAGCAACCCCGGTCAGTGTGAGGATTAAATTTGATACCAAACGTGATACACCAGACACAGTGATTGGCACTATTCACTTGATAAATGCCAATTGTCCTCTGCCACCTGGGCCCTCCCAGTTTCTGCTGAAGCAGAGGGAATGCCTAAAAGATGATTCTTCTTCAGGGACAGCGAGGGCAGCTG